AGGCAGAAAGACCTGCATGGGTAAAGGCACTACGGTGGGAACATGGAACAGACATTATTACAGTGTAACTGGAGCCATTAGGGCAGCAGTGAGAAAAAAAAGTTAAGTGAGGGTCAGACTAGAACAACTGTAAAACCAGGTTAACAAATTAGGATGGGCAGGATTCCCTTTAAAAAAAAAAATGTAAGTGCTGGGTGTTTTGAAGTTAGTAACACATTATATGTAGAGTGCCTACTCTGTGGAACCTACACGTGCCCAATGCTGACAAAACCTTAGAGGGTAAGTGGCACACTCGCATTCCAGATGAGGAAAGAGAACTTCAGAGCGGTCACAGCTTCATGTGTCACAGAGCGGACACATGGCTATTAAGTGGCAGGGTTGTATTCAGATCCTGACTCCACAGTTTACGCTCCTTCCTTGCAGCCTTTCTCATCTGGGGTTTCTCCTCTGAACCACAACTGGGAAATTATTTGAGTAATGATTTTTTCAATTCTCTTAGGAATAGCACATAACTTGTACCACTTCAGATAGGAGAGAAATTAATAACCCTGAGTGTAACAGATGCCTGAGAGCATTAGAGTTTAATTTTCCAGAGGAACCCTGGTTGAGAAAGGCTGCATGGTAAGAGATACATTTTAGGAAAATGGATCTGTGAAAGTGGGATCACATTCCTGGGAGAAAAAGCTGTAAAAGCACCTTAACGGCCTTGGAACCACAGGGATGAGTCAGCTCCAGGGGCTTGAGGAAGGAGGCTCCCGACCTTCTCAAATTACTCGTCTTTTCAGCAATCCTGCCTTTCCTTCCTTCCTCTAACCTTTTCCTGTATGCAGCAGTCAAGCGCTGAAGCAGGCCTTTCTGCTCATAAGACAGCGACCCAGGAAGCAGCAGTATTTTTCGAGAGGAAAACCACAGAAGCCAGTGGATCCACTTTTCTGTGGAGGCTGGGAGTAGAAAGCTGGCACTGGACTCAGAACTCTTGCACACAAATCTGTCTGGCAAACTCTCACTGCCCTCCCCGACAAGGCTGAAGCAAGCCATCCTCTGGGAAGCCTTCTGTAACTGACCCTACTACCTCCCTGCTCACCAGGCAGAAGCAGGTATTTCCTCCTTGGTCTCCCCAGAGCCCTTTGTCCAGAACCGTGCTGGGGCACTCGCCTGCTGTCACTTCCTGTTTCCTTATCTGTCTCCTCCACCAGTCTGCGCCTCTCTCGGGACAGTTTGCCAGATCCAACTTAGCATGCCCTGAGGTCAAAGATGACAACTGGCTTACCCAGAGTCACACTACAGAGCTGAGATTTAAACCCAAGTCTGTCTGATCCCCAATTTTGTGTTCTTCTCACTATGTTATGGGGCCTCCTGAAGATGAAGTGGCCTTTCTGTGCTAAGCACCCATCCCAACAGTGAAGTGTTCAGAGGCGGCACTGTCAGAACAGACCAGACCACCTGGAGAGGCTTCCTTAGAGGATCTAGCTAAGAAGAGAGGGAACATGATGGTGTTTTGGGCAGGGTGGAGAGGCTGTAGGCAGAAACAGAATTAAGAAGTCATTAGATAGGAGTACAGATTTCATGGGGAAGGAATGGGATTATAGCTGCCAGGGTGAGCATTTGATTTCTTTACATAATCATGGAGAACCTATCTGTACTTGGGACCTTTACAGATGTCATCATTAATCCTTATGCCCACTAATCCCTGTGATACTTCCCAGATGTTATTTATTTATTTGGCTGCGGTGGGTCTTCATTGCTGCATGCAGGCTTTCTCTAAGTGTGGTGGGCGGGGGCTACTCTTTGTTGCAGCGTGGCGGCTTCTCACTGCAATGGCTTCTCTCATAGAGCACGGGCTCTAGGTGTGTGGGCTTCAGTAGTTGCATTTCAGGGGCTCTAGAGTGCTAGTTAAGCAGTTGTGGTGCATGGGCTTAGTTGCTCCACAGTACATGGGATCTTCCTGATCCAGGGATCAAACCCATGTCCCCTGCATTGCAAGGCGGATTCTTAACCACTGGACCACCAAGGAAGCCTCTCCCAGCTGTTATTTTACAGACAAGAAAACTGAGGCTTAGAGAGATAAGATAATATGTCCGAGCCAACAGAGCTAGTAGGTGGGGGAGCTGGGATTCAAATCCAGGCTGGCCTGACTCTAAAACCCTTTTTATTACTCCATGCTGCCTCTTTTTTTTTTTTTTTTTTTTTTGAGCGGGGGCGACCTTAGAAAAAGATTGTAATGTTCATGGTTTCCAGGATCTCCCCTTCTGTTTTATGCCTCAGAATTCTGCGATCCAATTCAAGTCCTGTCTCCTGAGCCTTTCNCCATCCCAGTCCCCCCTCCCACCTCCCTCTCCACCCGATCCCTCTGGGTCTTCCCAGTGCACCAGGCCCGAGCACTTGTCTCATGTACCCAACCTGAGCTGGTTATCCGTTTCACCCTAGCATGCTGCCTCTTAAGGGGTCAGAAAACCTCCCACATTACCAGACTGCTGCTGCAGCCTGGACCTCCCCCAGCTCTCATGTGGGGACGCTAATCAGAGGGCAAGTGCAGCTGGCCCCTCTAGCTCCAACCCTCTAAGATCTGGGGGCCCTAAATCCTTGTGGGCTAAGCAATTTTAAGGACAAGAGTTATGTGTGGCTCCAAGGAGCACAGGCTGGCCCCCTGTCTAGGCCTGCTTTGGGTCTCACAGAGAAAGTCTCTGAGGTGCTGCAGCAAAGCCAGTGGCAAATATAGGCTGAAAAAGCTGGACGGTCAGGAAGTCAGGGTCTGCCCTCCCTGAAACGTTCTGGAGGTCAGCTGAGGTCAGAAACTTTGGAAATGTTACTGGCAAGAGCCCCTAGGACAAGGGAACAGGATCCTGCCTCTCGGTTGGCTGGTCACACACACAAGCAGACCAAGAGAGGTCAAGGGGGGAGGGGGGTCAGAAGTTGGCAAGCCTGCAGGCCCTGAGGGATGGCCACTTGTTCAGGTCGGAAAGGGAGAAATCAGTGGGTTAACAATTTTGGCCCTTGAGGCTGGGAGGCTAGGGCAGGGGGTGTAAATGGATTCTGGGTAAAAAGGCAGGTGGGTGAAGTGTAAAGGTGGGGGCTAAGGGCATCTGTTCCAAGTCAACAAGCAGGAATCATGCCCCTGGAACGGCTCAAATGGCCAGCCTTGGCCTGGAGGGTGAGGGTGGGGGTGTTTCATAAAAGGCCCATGCGTCTTCATTTTAAAGGTGTTCGATCTGCAAGGCTGGGGAGAGGGACTCTTTGTAGAATGAGTTCCTTGTCCATTTAGGGGCTGATGGGAAGTGGGGAATGTAAACCACTGGACAATAGCTGGGGGTATTGATTGATTTAAGGCACAGCAGAGAGAAGCCCCATAGTGAACGCTCTAATTCTTAGCTACAAATGTCTCTCATTGGAGAGCTTTCCAAAGGACAAAGTGAGTAGCATGTTGCTTGGGGATGTTAGCATGTTGCTTGGGGATGTTTTCTAAGTCTCTGCTCCTGTAAACACTGAGTTCTTGCTCCAAAAGCACCAGTCATCCTAGATGCTGTCACCATATCCGTGAGCAGTGCTGCCCCTTGCAGTGTTCATTCCCAGACCAAGGCGCACACTGGCTTCGCTGGGGCAGGTCCCTTGTAGGCTGGGGCTATGGGCCAGGTCTGGGTCTTAAGTCAGTGTGACTGTGGCGGATGGAAGGTGGTAGGACTTGAGGGTTAGGGGGAAACCCTTCCAGTCCAATCACAAACACTAGAAGATGATATGGGGACACTGGGCTAGGGAGGCAAAGATTCTGGGGCTGAAAGTACTTCCTTTGAAGACAGGGTTTTGAAACAGTGATTGACTACAGAGGACAGCTGGCAGAAGATACAGAGAAGAAAATCACACCTACTTAAAAGAATCTACTTAAACCAGTCACAGCAGAATTAAAATGGAATGGGCTCCCAGGGAAGAAGGAGGGTTCCCTCAGTCTCTGAGAGAATCCAAAGAAAGACCAGCCAGCTAACTGCTGGAGAGGTTTTTGCCACGGGGAGAGAGGGCGGGCAATCAGGTAAAGTGGAGGACCTCTGAGGATCCTTCCAGCTCCCAGGTTCTATGAAGAATGACCACTGACAAGGAATGCCTTGGTGTCCAGGCCCAAGAGAGGGTCCCTAAACCTCCAAGAAGTGCAGTGAGGGCATAAACAGGAAGTCAGTGCCACAGTGCCATACCAATTCAGGGGCCTGGGCACCATGCATCCTGGCAGGATGCTTTCCTCGCTCTCCCAGGGAGAGGCTGGAGTGAGATGAGGGCAAGTGACTGCCTGGGAGGCCTCTGGCAGGTACCAGATCTGGACAGGACCAGACCAGCCTGAGTATGGGGATGGTATGTATTATAACTCCAATACATCAGTGCTCTCCAAAAGAAGGGTAGTCAAACATTTGACAAAGACTTATTGAGTGTTTACTGTGTGTCAGGTACTATGTCAGGTGCTAGAATGAATCAGCCATAGTTCTTGCCCTCAGGGAGCTCAGAGTCAAGTTAGGGAGAAGGTTACTGAGCACACACAAAAAATTCAAGATTGCAACAAGTGCAACCACGGAAAAAGAATAGGGTGCAATGAACCAGAGTAATGGAAGAGGCCTGATTTAGACTAGGGTGGGGGTGGGATCAAAGTGGCTATCTTTTGAGTCTGGGGTTAGTAGAGATTTGAAGGCTCTCCCCCCTTAGTTCACCAGTCCTGCTCTGGAGGTCACAGGGTAGGAGAGGATACTTTTGGGGGACGAAACAAACAAAACTCAGAGTGTGAACGTTTAGGCAGGATGGCATGGTACACCACACAACCGTAGGCAAAGAACACACTCCAGCCACATGAGGGCAAATCCCGCATGCACATGGCCACTATCACAGACTATAGGCACCTTTGAGGCTTTCCAGCTCTGGGAGGGCAACAAGGCTTTGGGGAAGCTCAGCATTTCTGGAGGAGAGAGGCAGCTAAGCCCACACTTCCTGCCGACCAAGCCCTCTGCCCCACTCACCCATGCTCTCACCTCCATCAAGCAGCTCCTTGACGGTCCGGTAGTCATCAGCGAGGACAGCATAGTGCAGGGCTGTGCAACCCTTGAAGCTGGCGCGGTTGTTCAGCCGGTTGTTGAAGTCATCCTCTCGGGTGACCAGGACTAGGGGGACAGCAACACAAACCCTTTCATCAGCAACAAATGTCAAGAGCCACCAATCTCACTTTCTTCCTCTTGGCATTTTTATTATCTCATTCACTCATCTACTTCCTTACTAAACAAATAACGGCACCTACTATGTGCCTGGCCATCTGTGCTGGGAAGAGGAAGTAAAACAGAGCCCGGTTAATTCCACAAAGGTTTACTGACATCTATTATGTGATAGGATTCATTTGGGGACATAGAAATGAATCAGATATGGTCCCTGACCTAACCTGACAAAGGAGGCAGACAATAAACTGATGTTTACAGTATTGCCTGAGATAAATGCTATTATATAACAGGATGATATAAAAAGCCAGAAGGGAGCTTAGCTCAATTTGGGCATGAAGAAAGGATCTCAAAAGATGAGTCTTGAAGGGTGAAGAAAAGCAGGCAACGGCAAGACAGAGGACAAATCAGGAGGCAGACAGAGGCTGTTCTTAGCAGAACAGTAACATACCTCCTCTGTGCTCTGAAGATGTTTACAATCTAATATTTAATATTTTGTAAAGGATTTTTAAATTTATAAAAGCCATTAAGAATTTGAAACTACAGGAAAATACAAAGGAGAAAAAGCATGATTATCTCAGCAACTTGAGAAATGGCATTTAATATTCTGGTATATGTCTTCTGATATCTATACTGATATCGATGTAGACATTGGTAGGTAGAAGATACCTGCATATATATCCTACATGTATATCCTACAAATTTGGAATTTACTATATTGCAGTTTTGTAATCTGCTTTTTTTCCCTTAATAAATGTACTGTGAGCATTTTTTGAAGGCAGAAGGAACAAGTATTGCATGTGTCAAAGAACCAAAACCCCTAGGCTCACTCAAGTGCTATTATTAGTGATTCTCTTTCTAAATTGATACCAAAGAACCTAAAATCAGTTGCATCACTTTACAGGACCCTCTCGGTTAGTGATCACACATGTCCCTGTTCATCAGGGTAGTCATGACTTATGCTTGTTGTCCTCAACAGTCCCAGTATGGACAGTATTTGGAAGGCTATCTAAACTCTGGGGCCTTTCCTTGGGAACTAAGACCCTACAGAACAATACCTATCCTGCGAAGGTGATGGGGTCTCTTTCTGCCTCATGTAGAAATTATCAGAGTACTTGCCTTATGTTCCCTCCTGAGCTTGGTTCACTGGAGGTGGAATTTGGGTCCTACCTACTTGTACCTGCTCCTCCCTGAATCCACGGCACAGGGCCTGCAGAGGGCAGGCTCCTCCTACCTCCTACTGGATAAAGGAATGTAATTCAGTCAAGAGAGAACCTTGCCTGTGTAGTCAAAAGCACCAGACAATTTTTAAGCCATTCTTTTCCAAGATGCCTTGGAATGGAGTTTATGCATTTCCTCTTCCTACAAAACTGAACTTCCTATTGAAAAGTCACTCAAAGCCAGAAGACTGTCATGCTTCTTCCTAAACCTAACAGAGATTTCACCTAGATCACTTCATGGCAAATAGATGGGAAAAAATGGAAACACTGACAGACTATTTTCTTGGGCTCCAAAATCACTGCAGATGGTGACCACAGCCATGAAATTAAAAGACGCTTGCTCCTTGAAGAAAATCGATGACAAACCTAAACAGCGTATTAAAAAGCAGAGATATTACTTCACCAACAAAGGTCCATCTAGTTAAAGCTATGATTTTTCCAGTAGTCATGTGTGGATATGAGAGTTGGACCATAAAGAAGGCTGAGTGCCGAAGAACTGATGCTTTTGAACCGTGGTGTTAGAGAAGACTCCTGAGAATCTTTTGGACTGCAAAGAGATCAAACCAGTCAATCCTAAAGGAAATCAATCCTGAATATTCATTGGAAGGACTGATGCTGAAGCTCCAATACTTTGGCCACCTGAGGCAAAGAGCCGACTCATTAGAAAAGACTCTGATGCTGGGAAAAATCGAAGGCAGCAGGAGATGGGGATGACAGAGGATGAGATGGTTGGATGGCATCACCAATTCAATGGACAGGAGTTTGAGCAAGCTCCAGGAGATGGTGAAGGACAGAGAAACCTGGCATGCTGCAGTCCATGGGGTCGCAAAGAGTTGGCACACAAATGAACAACTGAACAACAACTGACCTTCTCTGCTCTTTGGCTGACATACTTCACACAATCTATTTAATTCCCCTAACTACTTGTTAGTGCTTGTTGTTTAGCTGCTCAGTCATGTCTGACTCCTTATGACCCCATGGACTGTAGCCCACCAGGCTCCTCTGTCCATGGGATTCTCCAGAGAAGAGTACTGGAGTGGGTTGCCATTTTCTTCTCCAGGGGATCTTCCCAACCCGGGGATCGAACCTGGGTCTCCTGCATCGCAGGTAGATTCTTTACTGACTGAGCCACCAGAGAAGCAGGCATTATAATTCTTGTTTTATAGATGAGAAAGCTAAAGCACAGAGGTCATACAGCTAATAAGTGGTGGCATGAGGATTAGAGCCCAGGTCTAATCTGAGTCCTCACGCTATTTCCCCATCACATCATGCTTTCACCCTCATTTTGCAAATGAAGGAATCAGAGCCCAGATGTTCTGGTCCTAGCCTTGGCTTCCACTCTCTCTTTTTTCCCTGCTCAAGTGAAGGTGCCAGCATACTCTCTATGGAACCTGCCCTAACAGAGATTGGCCTGCGGTTTGTAAATAACACCCAGATAAGATGGCTTAGGTGGTAGTATTTCAAATGTTTGGTCAAAATGAAGTTGCTGGAGTGTGTAACTGGAGAACAGATCACACTTCCTTATGGTCTGGTGAATCAGTGGTCCATCAGCTCTTCTGCACCAGTCAGAGGCTATCCCAACTGATGACCCCCACCCCTTGAGTGTTACCTGACCTTTCCTGGAGCAGGGTAAACAGGAAGAAGGCCTCTGATTAGCTAATATATATGTCCAATGTGCAATGGTATCTGCACGTTTCTCATGCAGGACCTAACTCAGAGATTAACTCAAACTTTTAGTTGAGAACAGTCTTATCAAGTCATGGTAAGGGATTTTGTTTCCAGCCTACTGCAGATTAGAAGAAGCAAACTAGAAGGCTGGGAAGAATGTTTCAGAACCAAGTATGTGGATTACAGTCCAGAGCTCACCAGGCAGGGAGGGAAAATAACAGTACAACAAAAACCTGAAAGAGGAAGCCACAGAATACAGTGCCTCAAGAGCCAGTAGGGCACCACTGAATTGCCACACAGGACATTAACTGCTAGATACAATGGACAAACATCAGCATAGCGGCAGCGTCACAGCCCAGCTAATAAGGAATGTCCATGAAGAGAGCCCCTGCTCCCCTCTGAGGTCTCATCTCTCACCATCCCCTTTCTAATGCTCTTTCGAGCCTCTGAGTTTTTGCAAATACTATTCCACTGCCTGGAACATTTCCCTCTCTCTCATGCCTTCAGCTGACTAACTTCAATTCACTTCTAGGCCTCTGATTAAAAGTCACTTCCTCCAGTGATTCTTCCTAAGTTTGAGGTAGTTATTCCTCCCAAGAGCTTCCCCAGCACTTCAGGCATCTCCCAATTACAGTTTATATTACCCATTCCATTGCAATCATCTGATTACCTGACTATGTTACCCACTAGACCAAAAGCACAATGAGGAAAGGAAGTGTGACTGTCTTCCCCACAGTTGTACCCCCAGTGTCTGTCCATAAATATATGCTTGACAAATACTTGTTGAATCAGCAAATGCATACATAATACATAATTAAGGCCCTGCAATTACCTTGTTTTGGAATAGTAACACCACCAACAGTATTTAATGGAGGAAGGAGAGTGTAGCTGTTAAATAAGTAAGCTCTGGAGCCAGATCACTGGTGTTTGGGTTCCAGTTCTCACTTTACTGACTGTGCAATCTTGGGTAACTTACTTAACCTCTCTGTGCCAAGTTTCTTTCCCTGTAAGCAGAGATGATTAACATGCTCTCTCATGGGATATCATAAGGATTAAATGAGACACTGTAAGTAAAGGGGCTTGGAACAGTACCTCTTAGCCACTGTCAGTTACTATCCTTACTGTCTACTCTTGTGCTTCCAAAAGTGTACTTACTATCTCTACAAAAAAAGGTCTGGGGATTTCTGCATACACTTTCCCCCTCCAAAAGGCATAGCTCTGAGTAAGAACCATCTATTTAATTTGGCATTGCTGTTTAGTTGCTATGTCTTTTGTGACCCCATGGATTGTAGCCCACCAGGCTCCTCTGTTCATGTGATTTCCCAGGCAAGAACATTAGAGTGGGATACCATTTCCTTCTCTAGGGGATCTTCCTGACCCAGGGATCAAACCCACATCTCCTGCATTGGCAGGTAGATTCTTTACCACTGAGCCACCAGAGAAGCCCTAATTTGGTTATTACTCAGCAGTTTTATGTTCGGCAGCCTCTCCATCCAACCCCTGTTAAAATCCTGCAGCACTGGTGTTCCATGGAACACTCTGGAACTGAACAGTGCATAACAACATGTAAAGCATTCCCTTTACTTATTTACTTCAGAACGACCATGTGAAGTGGAAGTTCACTCTCCCCATTTTACAGATGAAGAAGCTGAAATACAGCAAGTGCCACAGCCAATCAGTGGTGGAACTAGGACCTTGTCCTGGTCGGCTAGACTCATTTTGTGTTCTTAGCAGTAAGCTCTTTTCCCCTTGTCACTCAGTTTTAGAAGCCCTGTCCCAGGAGATCCCCCAGATCATTAGATCTCTATCAGGAAAAAAAAAAAGTGTCTAAAGGTGGGAAAGAGGAGGTATGTGCAGCATACACCCTCACATTCTTACTTGCTCTCATGGACAAAGCGGAAGCAAACCCACAGAAGCTAAAGTGACTCATCCAGGGCCAGCTCACCAGCTGGTCACCATGGTGGTCTTTTGAGGCCCAGTGTGTACAGCTGGTCCTCAGCCAGTGAACCATCCCCTTCCCAACAAAGACATCCACCAGCCCATCTCCAGCACAGGGGGAGATGG